TGGTGCTCAACCCCGGAAATGGCCGCAGCCGCAAAAAACATGGCACAACAAGCTCCGATTCCAGCAAAAATGAATCAATGTGAATGTTGGGCGGGCCGTCAAAAATCAGGAACCCCGATGCCCATTTCTCAAACGACACTGGCATGGCCCATTTCGTCGCTGTTTTTGCGAACCGAACCCGACCGAGCAGGTGAACCAATTAACGGTACCTGTAGTTTGGCGGATCACCTGTACTCACACGCGCTAAACGTCCAAAGATTCTCTTCGACTGTCGATTTTTTTCGGTTAGAGCTGCGACCTAAGCGAATTAATTTATTGGGGGCCGCTCATCAAATATGCGGCCTTAAGTGGCCAGTTTGATGGGTATTCATATTTTATAATGCCATCTGCGTCCCTCATATTTGACCATTGCGTGGATTTTCCGCGATCGATCTCCATCAGCTGACGTTGGGTGGCAACTCAGTCCTGCATAGAACTTCAGAAGACGAAGCGAACCAGTTGATTTCCCTGAAACTTCATCCAAATTCAGCAAGGGGAACTAGCAACCAACGTATGTAGGCCAATCACATTCATGTCTAGGTACCCGGCTGGTACCCGAGCCTGAGCCAATTGCAGTAAAGAGAAAGGGAAACTAGTGGTGAATGGATAAAACAGTTTACAGTAATCTCGTCTAGTCGGATTAGTAGACTGGTGGGCACGAGTGTTTAGAAGAACCCGAAGCCCCAGCTGTTCGTCCTGGTTCCATCCATCTCGTTACATAATTAATGCACATTAGATGCAAGTAGAAGTGTTTTGTTTGGGGGGCCGCGACCCGATCGTTAGATGGAGCTTTTTTGTGATTGCAGCTTTTGTTTCGGTTTTATTGTGCTTTTTGTGGCCTGTCTAGGACGTGCTGATGATTGATGGTTCGGACAGTTGTTGAAAATGTTGAATGATGAATGAAGCGGGTTTTTTACGCAGTTTTTCTCTTGTCCGTCTAGTAAATTTCCATTTGGTTTCGTATCATTCGGAGCACGATTGCCATTACAAGTACCACCCGATTGTTTCCGGAATAATCAACGCGGTTGCAGGCGTCATTTTTGAAGGGAATCGCGAAGGCCGTGTCAATCACACATCGCTATTTCAGTCACATAACGTTGCGCAGGTGAGATCTACTGTAGTTTAGAGAAAAATCAGCCTGGCGCACCTTTGCAGACTTATCGACCTTGCTGTACTTGTTCCTGTTGGGTAACGTCCCAGTAATACAAATCCTACTGGCACCTTTCAAGATTTCAAACCATCACTGCAAAGTGCTTGTGTTTTGTTTGCCCACCCACAAAAAACTGCGACTAGGAAAGTTCACTTATTCAAACGTTTTGTCTGCTGGGGCTGAGGAAAACAGCAACATTCCCGAGAATGAAACACGCATTTTTCGAATTGTAATCATTAATAATGCCATTTTACCGATGCAGTTATAATGAGGCGAAATTGGGCGAACACGGTTTGCGGTATGCAAATGAGGAAGTGTCTCCATCGCCTAAATGCACTTTTGATATCGGACCTCGTCCTTTCAATATTAAACAGAGCACATTTTAATACGCTTTTTATTAACGTGGCTATCAGAATGAATGTGCGGCCCAATCCCGACTCAATGCCAATCAATAAAGCTTAAGGTTATTAATTAAACTTCAACTTTGGACACTGTGAAAGCTATTGGTAAACACCATTTTCGATTCTTCTCCCTTCATTAAATGCTTTAGTTCTGATAAATTCTAGGCAAAGCCTCTTGGTTACTGCTAAATAAAAAATGGGTTTATTTGGAATCATATCAGATTTTAGAATAATATACAGGGTGAATGAGAAGTTTACTGACATGTTTTAGGTGGCTGAGCGGGTATTATTTTGATGTGAAAGGTTGTAACAAATTAGAGTCCTTAAAGGCATCAATACGAAAGTACAAGGTGTGAAAATTTGTTAATATATCCGAATCCGCTTTCTAGATCCACACACTAGATATTTTAATTATTTTTTTTGCCATCAAGAGGCGCGAAATATGTTTATTTTATAGATAAACTATTTTTTTAAAACAATTTATTTAAAATAACTTTACAGACGTTCTATCATCGACAGAGTTTTGTGGAAAAAAGCGTTAACATAGTGAATTGTCTCAGTTTTATAGTTAATCAGGAATTTATGTACGGCGGAACCTAGTCAGCGGATTCTGTGGGAACTGCTGCTTACTAGGCAGGTTCTGTGTGAACTTGATGGTGTAACTCCTCCCTTCTTAAGCTGAGAAAATACCGGAGGGATGTTTCGAAGTATCGGAGGTGAGGTCATCTTCTTCTTTGGATTTTCTTCTGCATACCATCATTAATCGCTTTTTCTGCGTCCAAACGATAGTGATTACAATCATAAACATGAGGCTGGTTAGAAGTATGATGAGGGTTATTGACGTTTGTTCCATTGGTGT